CCCGCCGTCTCTCTCCCCCAACCAAAAAAAAAAAAATCCTACACACTAAAAAAAAACCCTCAAAATGCAGTACATGAAGAATTTATAATTATGAATTGTATTATGATGTGAATATCAAAGATCTGCAACGAATAAAACTTGCAGTAGGGGATAGTATAGAATGACAGTTATGGGGTTTTTGTCCATGTTAATGGATCATGACTACAGCTTGCCTGCTTCACGCCTTTATCTATTGTTCTGGGCTCTGATGGAAAAGTTGGTGACATATTTGTTTGTGGCAGGCTTTTTAATGGTTGGCATCGTTGCCTTGTTTTGATTCTGGTTAACTTTATAATCCAAATTGTTTACTGATGATGTTTAAGAAGCAAACCAGATATGGTGTTTTTGAGAATTATAGCTTGCTTTTGGTGCTCTGATTTGATGCTAAATATAGTAAATGCAGCTGTCTGATGGATAACGATGGCCAATTACTTCTGTCTGCCAGGATATTCGGCACTGACAAGGGTTACAGAAAATTGAAGGCACTGAAGAGTGATGGACATGAAGCAGAGGTCAAGCAAACGTAACAGTTACATTGGAAATAAAAATTGTTTACTGCTTTGGCATCACAGGATGGGTTGTTAAGAGCATCTTGGTAAAGGTTCTATTCCGTTCCTCTTCATCTTGTGTGCAACTGTTTTTTGTGTCTAATTGGTGTTCTGGATGACATTGTGTGTAATGTGTAATCAATTCCAAGCTGCTTCTGGATCTGTGCTGCTGTCCCATTACATGGATGAAATACCTGTCTTCTCATTTTTTACAATGTTTTCCATTTCTTAACCCCTGCACCAAATTGTGCCCACTTTGGGATTTGCTTATTTCCATGTACCTTCCAAGCACCCAGGAAATTCTATGCAGTTGCACTTCCAAACCACTTGAAAAAATAGGGGGAATAAATGAGGAAATGCAACAGCAATAACTATGCACCCCCAAGTCCAACCGCTCGTTTGTTTTCTTTCTTTCTCTCTTTCTTTCTTTTTTTGAGTTTATATACTTCTAACTCTTTCAATCCTACTACCAATGAAAAGAAATGCATGTGCACACGCACACGCACAAAATAGACACCCTCCACGTAATTTTTTCTACTGCTAAAATTTTGAACATGCTAATTTACCTTGTTCATAGCTCTCTTGAGAGAAAAAATAACTAAGAAGGCATTTCATTGCAATTACCAATCTGTTGGTTTTGTGGCTAATTCTTGAAGCTTTAATCCTCTACACGTCAAAAGGAAAGGGAATGCATAAATGTAGACTACCAGCCACTGTTTTAAAACCCGGCTTGGCAGGTTGACCCAGTGAACTAGACACCAAAATGGGTCGGTTACTGCATTAGATCGTTCGTGCACAAAAACCAGTTATAATCAGCTGAACCAGGCAGTTTTTTAAAAAACCGTTTAACTCAGACGGGTTTTAACAAACCGGATGGGTCATTAAAAATGTATAAAGTCCAAATTTTTAGGCCATTTTTGCCCTAATTCCTTTGCACCTCTTCAATTCTTCTCTTGCGCCTCGCCTCTGCCTCTGCCTCGACGACTTCCGGTCCTCAATCTCAGCCCTTAGGCTCTCTCTCACATGGAGATCGAAATTCAAAACTGAGAAGTGAGAAGCTTCCCCGCCGGGTTAAATATTTGGGGCTTTAACCATATGAGGTAATTTGTGCTATAATTTCTAATGGGCCAAGCCCAAAGCTCATCTCATGTTATAAGTCTAGTTCAAGTTTATAGTCTGACTCCAAGAGATTTAGCGAATCCAGTCCAGTGTGGCTAACCCGGTCAAACTCAGCAGCTTAAGGAGCTAAGTGAGCAAATAGGTCATCCAAAACCCTATCCTCGCTGCCCTGGAGATGGTCATAACCCCACCTCATCCTTTGACCGAATCTCATGAAGAACACCACAACTGCCTAACATATTGAGAAGAACTCGTCAAATCCAACAAACTAGCCAACTACTTACTAATATCTTGCTCAAATCTATTAGGAGAGCGGCTATAAATTCTAAGTCCCACCAGCACTTGAAGGGCAGATCTCACTCTGTTGAGCACGACTCTCATCTCTTTCTAAGTTTGTATTCTCTGCTCCCTATATCCATGAGCTAATAAAGTACCAGGCGACCAAGGCCATTCAAAAGTGAACGTAGGTCACGTTGACCGAACCACTATAAATATCGTGTCCTCCAACTCTTTTTACTTTAAATTACTGCATTTATTTTCAATTACTTGACATGTGGTGTGCAAAGTCATTTTGTGCATTATCAGTTTGGCTCCGTCTATGGGAACAACTAAATTTTCACTTTTAAACACTCCCTCTGTTGAACCTATGGCGATTACCATTAGATCCATGAATCAACCTGAGGATAATCCACAACGAGAGGAGGAGGTTGTTCCTCCACATACCAACCCTATCCCAAATGTTTCAGTTTCAAATTCTCAACAAATGTTAGAGACCATGCAGTAGCTGGTGGCCCAAAACCAACAGATTCTGCAATTCATGCACGCCTTGGGCATCAAGGAGCTGCACGCCCTACGCATCAAGGAGCTTCATGCCCTGGACATCAAGACGCTGCACGCCCTGGGCATCTAGGAGCTGCACGCCCCTAGGCATCAGAGAGCTCCACGCCCTGGGCATCAGGAAGCTCCATGCCCTAGACATCAAGGAGCTCCACAACTTGCTGCTCCCCCATTTGGGCACCCATGCAGGTCTGGGCGCCCCTTTTGGAGTCTCTTTAGGCGCCCCACATAGGGGAGCCCGTTATGAGAGACCTCTAGCTCCTCCTCTAGCTCCTCTAATTTTCCATGGTAAAGACCCTCATCTCAAAAAGATGATGACGAAAACCAAAGCATGGAACATGGGAGTCATTTTCATGATTATTCCAGAGGAGCCCCCAATCACTAGGACGAGAAAATTAAGGAAGTACAAAATCAACTGGATGACGTCTTCAACGCCATGAAGGCACAAGAACCCGAGACAGTGGACTACCTCATAAGGCGGACAGACACGCCTTTTAAACCTGACGTGGCGAACTACCCACTCCCTCAAAAGTTTAAAATGTCATCCGTGGAGACCTTTGACGGAACGAATGATCCACTTGATCACCTCGAAACCTACAAGACCCTAATGCAACTGCATAACATCCCTGATGAAATTATGTGTAGGGCATTCCCAACTACTTTGAAAGGATCAGCGTGACAATGGTTCGCCAAACTCACCCCAGCCTCCATAGGCTCCTTCGCCGAACTGAGTAGATTATTTGTGGCATAGTTCATTGGTAGATGCCGCCAGCAAAAGCCTGTCATCCATATGCTCAACATAAAACAGGACAGAGACGAGAATCTGAGGAGTTACCTCACTCGTTTTAACGAGGAGGTCTTCCAAATCGAGGAGCCCAATGACAAAGTCACCATGACTGCCTTTTTGGAAGGCCTCTACTCATCCAGATTCCTTTTTTCAGTAATAAAGTGACCACCAAAGAGCATGTCAGAACTATTGACAAATGTTCAAAAATATATGAATGCTGAGGAAATCAATAGGTCTAGGAAAGGTGAATCATCTCGCAAATCACCAGAAGCTTGACCTGCCTCTGCACTGTTCTCAAACAGGCAGCTTATCTCCAGCTTAGCGGCTCTTTCGCGGATCGTCCAAAAAGTTTGGCCTCTACACTATTCTCAAACAGACAGCTTATCTCCAGTTGAGCGGCTCTCTCTCGGGTCGCCAAAAAGCTATTGGACACAAGTTGCTACCCATCTCGCCCAGAACATTGTCTACTCGCCCAAAACGCGAGCCTAACTGCCTGCTCGAAGTTTTGATCGTAAATTTTACTCTGTAACTGTAAACAGGAGTTTATTATATATCAAATTGAAGCTCTCGACGAGACCTACAAGACTCACAGCTTTTGGCTATGATTGATGGTGTAAAAAGTCCAAAAAAAGGTCCAGAAACAGATGTTTTGGTCTCCCGAAGTTTAAAAAAAAAAAATTTCTGCCCAGCTCGCCCCGAAGTTGCCTGCTCGCCCAAACTGCTCACCTAGCTCTTTGCTCGAAATTTTGACCGTAACTTCTGATCCGTTACTCCAAGTAAGGCTTATAATATATCAAATTGAAACTCTCGGCGAGCCTTACAAGACTCACAGCGGCTGTGTTTGATTTTGTAAAAAGTCCAAAAAAGACTTGGAAGTAGATGTTTTGCAGCTTTTGGCTGTGATTGATGATGTAAAAAGTCCAAAAAAAGGTCCAGAAACAGATGTTTTGACCTCCCGAAGTTTTAAAAAAAAAAAAATCTGCCCAGCTCGCCACGAAGTTGCTTGCTCGCCCAAACTGCTCACCCAGCTCTTTGCTCGAAATTTTGACAGTAACTTCTGCTCCATTACTCCAAATAAGGCTTATAATATATCAAATCGAAACTCTCGGCGAGCCTTACAAGACTCATAGCGGCTGTGTTTGATTCTGTAAAAAGTCCAAAAAAGACTTGGAAGCAGATGGTTTGGCCTCTCGAGGTTTTTCCAATTGTGTCGGTCAGTCGAAAATTCAAACTTAATCGAATGCCCTCCTTTCTAAGTTTTATTGGACACAAGGCATTGGAGGGCAAATGATGGGTCAAGCCCAAAGGCCCAACTCATGTTATAAGCCCAATTCAAGTTTATAGTCCGATTCCAAGAGATCCAGCGAATCTAGTCCAGTGTGCCCAACCCAATCAAGCTCATCAGCTCAACCCGGTCAAGCTCATCAGTGTGGTCAACCCGGTCAAGCTCAGAAGCTCAAGGAGCTAAGGGAGCAAGCAATGTCATTCAAAGTCCTATCCTTTCTGCCCTGAAAATGGTCAACACCCCACCTCATCCTTTGACCGAATCTCATGAAGAGCACCGCAACTGCTTAGCACGTTGAGAAAAACTCGCCAAATATAACAAATTAGTCAACTACTTACTAATATCTTGTCCAAATTTGTTAGGAGGGCGACTATAAATTGTAAGTCCCACTAACACTTGGGGGACAAATCTCACTCTGTTGAGCACGACTTTCTCCTCTTTTTCTAAGTTTTTATTCTCTGCTTCCTATACTCATGAACTAATAAAATACCAGGCGACCAAGGCCATTCAAAAGTAGACGTAGGTCACGTTGACCGAACCATTATAAATCTCGTCTCCTCCAACTCTATTTTAAATTACTGCATTAATTTTCAATCACTTGACAGATGATGTGCAAAGTCATTTTGTACATCATCAATTTCAATTGCTTGTTCTTTTTTTTTTTTTTTTTGTGATTTTGATTTTCTTTACGCATTTCAGCTCTAAATTTTAGATCAGTGTAGCCTTTTATTTTGGACAATAGATCAGTGTAGTTGAGTCCTCTTTGTATTTTCAAAATTTTGATTGCAGGTCTGTTGAAAATTGACGGCTGATTAAGTTCTTTCCGTCGAAAGGTTTTTTTTTTCGTCTGTCTTTTGCTCCATTTCGCTTGCTTCACTTTGATTTGTACGACATCTGTTTCTGTTAGAACATTCTCAATCCTAACTGAAATTTTTACTCAAATTTAAGTTAATATTTGAGTAAAAAACTTAATTTGATACAAATGACTTTAATAGATAAACTTAAATTTAAAGAATGAAAAATTTAAATTTAAATGAGAACAAACCCAAAATTAAATGAGAATAAAGATGAACATTAAATCTTTTAAAGATGGTGAAATCTTACCATTATAGATTTGAGTTTCCCTTAATTTGAATAAAAAAAAGTCTCCTTTGATTTATTATAAGTTTGAGTAAGAGTTAGAACAAGTTTTTTAGACTTTTTTTACTCAAATTTAAATTTGAGTCTAAATTTGAATTAAGGTTAGAGATGTTCTTATAACTAGAGATTGGCCATTGAATATGATATTTTCATAATTATTATGATTTTTTATCTTTTTTATTATAATTAATATTTATTTTTTATTTTTTTATTATATTACTGATTGAACCAATGACCCAATGACCCGATAGTTGAACCAATAACCCATTAATCCAATATATCTCCCGAGGTGGGTCAGGTTTTAAAACTATGCTATTGGGCCTCATTAACCCCCATGGCTTTTCGGCTTTCTATGTAACTTGAGAGAGTCACAGCCCAAGTTCTAGACAGAGGTGCTTGTCTAGGACCCAAATTTAGAGGCTCCAAAGAGTATAAGTATTTTTCCTTTATAATAATAGGCCCTAACTTTTTTTGTCTAGATATGATCCAAATTTTTAAAGTCCAAATTTAAAAAATTTAAATCAATATTTAATTTGTTTAAGTCCAAAATTATTCTCTACTTAATTAAGCCTAAATTTTGAAGAGCCTCCATAAAATTTATCCCTTTATGGCTTGTTTGAATAAATTTTGGAAAGAGGTTTAGATTGACTTCTCCAAACCCTTCCAAACTCAAACTCCTCTCTTTATAAAGATAGAATTTAACATTCAATTCGATCTACACCCATATTTGATATGCAACACATAAATATATAGGATCTATGAATATATTATAATTATTAACAACTATTTGTCATATAAATGACTATTTTATCCTTGATCAATTCAATGCATACACATGTTAAGAGGTACAACTGTCTTTTGCATCCTTAACTCTTTACTCATCTTCCCAAATTCACCCCCTCCCTAAGTTTGACGAAACACATGATCATGGCCAGCTACAGGCTGAGTTTCAAAACCCGTGATTGAATTTTTAATCGAAATATGGGATTTGAGGGTCCTTTAGACTATTTTTCCCAAACCCATCTTGTTAAGTCCCCATATCCCCTTACCAAACTGCCCCTTAGTACAATAGGCTTATTTTGTTTTTGTTATAATTATATTTTAGATATAATTCAAATTTTTTAAGGCCCAAATTTTAGTAGTACAATTCAATATCTAATTTGTTAAGTTTAAACTTACTCACTCTTTGAGAGCTTTTATTTAAGTTTTTCTAATTTTTTTGGGTGTGTTTATAATTGTATCCCTTTCACTCACATAAAAAATTTATAGACATTAGTTCTTGTGGTGAAAATTTATAAAATTGATTCTTTTTTTATGTTAATATAAATTTTCAGTCCAAATAATTTATGCTTAAAGTATGCGTTATCAAAGTTTTGTACTTCATACATGCACATAACTCGTAGATAAAGAATGATTTTTTGTTGCATTAAAATTATTCTTTACTCACATATTTTATCATTAAATAAATTAATTAAGATTAAATGAATTAACTATACTATCTATTGAAAAGGATTTATTGTCAAAACTTGCATATAAACACTTAATCAAATTTTTTTATTTCAAAAAATAAAAAATAAAATTAAACAAAATATTAACAAAGCCCCATATAAAATTTTTTTTCTAGGGCCCAGTATACCTTGGGCTGCCAGTGTATATAGAGATTTAAGGGCATGATACCAAGAACATTCTAGTTGTGAATTTTTTTTAATTTATTTTTGACATTTTTGAGAATTATAATTCCATCCAAAAAATAAATAAATTTAAATGTGGCACAACTCAATGTCGTGAATGATCAACAAAAGATATTTTAACTACTCAAAAAGGTAACATTTTTTATTTAACTACTCAATTTTTTAATATACAGTCCAACATATTTGTTATATTTTTAATTACTCATTTTAAATATTATTTTTCATTCCTAAAGGGAGAGAATGGAGAAAATGAGAGGAAGAAAGATAAATATTATAAAAAAATTTTACATATCTCTACAGTGATACTTTATAATATAGAGCATTGCTGTAGCAAAATTTTATTTTAGATATTATGAAGATAATCTGTCAGAATAGAATTTTTGAGTTAAATAGCTTCAATTTGAAGATTTTTTGTCCTTTAGATCATCTGTTGGAGATGGTCTAAAAGCATCTCCAACAATAAAAGTTATTTTAACTACTCAAAAAATATTTTCTAGTTACTCACTTTTTCAATACACATTACAACAGATTTTTTGTATTTTTAACTACTTCTTTTAAATATTATTTTGCATTCTTTTTGTATTATTTTTTTTTGAGAATAATAAAAAGGAGAAAGGAAGAAAAGAAAGAAAAAGAGAAAATATTATAAAAAATTTATATACAGCTACGATGATACTCTAAATATAGAGCATCTCTTTAATAAAATATTATTTTAGATGTTTTGAAGTTAGAATGAAATTTTTGAGTTAAATAGCACTATAATTTGAATATTGTGTTATTTTAGATCAACTGTTTGAGATGGCCTAACGCAAGAGTGTTGCTTCGTGATTCCTAGTTCTATTTTTTTGAAGGAATCTATCTAATCTAACTATATTACTGAAAACTGAGATATTTGTGATATATGTATTTTTTTCATTTTCAATTTTTTTTTAATCAATAACTGTTAATCGTTCAAATGAAAAAACAAGTATTGCAGACTCATTGCTCAAATCTCAATATTAAAATTTGACTTGATGCGACGCATATGCCTGTGTCAGTTTCCTACCAAACAAACGTACTAATTTTGTGCTAAGAGGTAACTAAGGTTGGACAACAAACTTTGCAAGTATTTTGTTAAGGCACTGCAGTAGCAATCTTTCCTTATTCCTTCGCTCCGTATATCACATGAAAGAACCCACACCAGTCCAGATCTCTCTCTCTCTCTTTGAAATTGATTTTTAAGGATAATTAATAACACCTGTAAATAACGAGTCATAAAGTAGAAAGTGAACAAAATGCAAACAATTCTCACTGTATTCCTTTTTGTAGCCAAAAAAGAAATGCAAACAATTTTGCTTTTTATAGGGGTGAAATGAAATTCTCATTGCTATTTTTCATCTCTTTTTAGGTTGCTACGTATTTTCAGACTTACCAAATAAGAAAATATATTTACATTTTTGTTTTGACTTAAAAAACGTTAGCATACAAATACAACAACAACAACAACATCAAGAATACCATGAAAACAAAACAATTAACAAAGGTGATGGGTCAGATCTTTCCATACCTACGTGTTATTACTCAGATCGATCACAACCACGCTCACGTTGTCAGCACTCCGTCTGGCCAAAGCCAGCTTCGTCAACAGCAACGACGCGTCCGAGCACGCCTCGTCGGAATTTTTAACGCCGCCGCCATTCCCCGGTTGAGACGACGACGACGACGAGGAAGTGCTCACCGCCTGTGCCTTCCCCTTCAGACACATCTTAGCCACTCCACAAGCGGTCTCGTTTGACACCACGTCCCATAGTCCATCACTCGCAAGAATCAAGCAGTCATCATCAGCCGTCCGATCGGTTATCGTCACCTCTGGTTCACAACTAACGTATGGCTTTAAATAATAATCACCTGAAAAGCGTGTAAAAGCGTCAGTTACATGTAGTTAAATGCTGCTATCGTGCGCCATCAGTGAATTTTGTTGACTTAGAAATGTGGAGATAGCTAGGTTCTTACGTACCGATGGCTCTAGACATGGCGAGGACGCCGAGAACTCGAGCACCTTCCCAGTATATAACTCGGCCGCCGGCCTCTTGGATCCTGCTTAACTCATCCGGACGATCCGGCTGAAACACACAGAAATCCAGAGAACAAGTAAAATAGTAATCAGAACCGTTGGATCTAAGGCAATCAACGTTCGATGTCGTTTATTGCATGGTGCAGATGGAGGAACAAAACGGACCGACCTTGTGATCCGTTGATAGGGGAATCGGTTTGCCATTCCGGCAAAGAACAGCTCTGGAATCACCACAGTTGGCGACGATGATTTTGTTAGGCGTTAAGATAGAGACGACGGCGGTGGATCCAACGGCATCACAGTCCGGCGTTTGGAGTTCGCATCGGCAATTAGCAACTAAAACGCCATCGTCCCATGCAATAACCTCTTTGTCCATACGATAGAAGCTACGCACCATCACCCTCTCCCAATCTGCTGATTCAACCTTGTTCTCTACCTCTTCCTTCACCAGTTCATGTAACCTGTCTCTACACTTCATCGCCACCTACAAAGACAAAACATTCAAGCTTTTTAAACACCATAAGATAAGAGCAAGATGCTTTTAGGCATGAAAACAATCTCACGTGTTAGGTTAATGGTCATACATACATGAGAGCATCCATGACCATCATAAACGCCGAAGTAATGCGATTCAGTAGTGTTTTCATGTTCTCGCCTGCAGAAGGAAGGATGTATCGCCACTGCGTCTTCCATATCTCTCCTCCTTCCACAAACTGAAGCCACACCGTATTTTGGATACGCCTCAGGGTCAACAAGAACTGTAGGCGGATTCCAAACTACAATTTCTTTTGTCTCCGACCTCCCATTTTCCCTCTCCGTTCGAATCTGTTCTCCGTCCGGATCACAGTTTTCCACGGCGTTATCGCACTCTCTGGAAGTATAAAGTTCTAGCTTCGGACGTTTCTCCCCGCTCTCATTCTCCGGCATAGCTATATCAGCCACGAACTTGATTCTCCGAATCTCCATTCTCCGCCGCCTAGATGATCGTGATCCGCTCTCGCATGGTGGCGATGCGTCCTTTTCACTCACCATTCCGCAACAGATCTCCGCCATTCATACAAAAAAAAAAAACCAGGTACGACCCACAACCACTTTCTCTCTCTCTCTCTCTATACATATATATATAATAATATAATAATAAGATAAACAGAAATCTCTGTTGCGATTTCGACTTCTGGATTCCAATTCGATATCAAAATCTGAGAGATTAATGAGATAGGAGAGAATCCAGTCGCGCGAACACATGGACCCCTTTAAAGGTCAGTCGTTACCACTACGGGCAAATGGTGTTAAACCATTCAGTATCAGTAATATTAAACTGAAAAAATTTTATGAGTGTTTAAACAATATGGCAGTTTATTTGAATTTTTTTAATTGTTGTAATGTCATTTAAATTTTAATAAAAATTTTAGCATTAATCTAAACAATTTTCGTGTGACGTTACTGCTTTCCTCCGGCCTAAGCAAACGTATCTCTAGCGTTCATCTGTCTCCAAGGTTATCCACCCGTTCGTCTGCGTCCGACACGTGTACCACCAGAGCTCTGGTGGACTTACGTGGTCCAATGAGAATGTAGAATCGCTCTTTACCTGACACGCATATGTGGTCTAGGACGACGTCGTGTATGATAAATTTATGCTTTTAATGGGAGGTTCCGGGACGCGTGGCGAGAATTTAGAGAGTCATTTGAAAAATTGGACCTTTTTATTCGGCTGGGGGCCTTGAGGTCCAACGAGGAGTGTGTACGTAGCCGGTGTTGATGTTGACGGGTGGGACCAGAGGCCTTCGTTTTACCGTTGTAAGAATATCTACGGTGGAAAATTTTGCCTCTATTTCTAGACACTTGGCTTTCAATCGGAGACCTGGACTTCTGCCGCTTGGTGTCGAAGTTCTTTAAATTATCGGATTGACCATAATTTCTTCGATGGACGACTTGCACTCTGCAGCTTAAAAATTTTTAAATTTTTATTTTATATTTTTAAAAATTAATTTTTTTATTATATCTTTGATATATTAAAAATATTATAAGAAATAACTTCTCATAAGAAATCTACTAATGATCTATTATGGTGGTGTTGGAGATAATATTTAAAATTTTAAAAGTATTTTTGGAATAAATATTTATCAAACATAAAAAAAAATATTTTTCTTTAAATAAGCAAGATTAAGATGTTCATAAATAATACTAAACTNAAAAAAAAAAACCAGGTACGACCCACAACCACTTTCTCTCTCTCTCTCTCTATACATATATATATAATAATATAATAATAAGATAAACAGAAATCTCTGTTGCGATTTCGACTTCTGGATTCCAATTCGATATCAAAATCTGAGAGATTAATGAGATAGGAGAGAATCCAGTCGCGCGAACACATGGACCCCTTTAAAGGTCAGTCGTTACCACTACGGGCAAATGGTGTTAAACCATTCAGTATCAGTAATATTAAACTGAAAAAATTTTATGAGTGTTTAAACAATATGGCAGTTTATTTGAATTTTTTTAATTGTTGTAATGTCATTTAAATTTTAATAAAAATTTTAGCATTAATCTAAACAATTTTCGTGTGACGTTACTGCTTTCCTCCGGCCTAAGCAAACGTATCTCTAGCGTTCATCTGTCTCCAAGGTTATCCACCCGTTCGTCTGCGTCCGACACGTGTACCACCAGAGCTCTGGTGGACTTACGTGGTCCAATGAGAATGTAGAATCGCTCTTTACCTGACACGCATATGTGGTCTAGGACGACGTCGTGTATGATAAATTTATGCTTTTAATGGGAGGTTCCGGGACGCGTGGCGAGAATTTAGAGAGTCATTTGAAAAATTGGACCTTTTTATTCGGCTGGGGGCCTTGAGGTCCAACGAGGAGTGTGTACGTAGCCGGTGTTGATGTTGACGGGTGGGACCAGAGGCCTTCGTTTTACCGTTGTAAGAATATCTACGGTGGAAAATTTTGCCTCTATTTCTAGACACTTGGCTTTCAATCGGAGACCTGGACTTCTGCCGCTTGGTGTCGAAGTTCTTTAAATTATCGGATTGACCATAATTTCTTCGATGGACGACTTGCACTCTGCAGCTTAAAAATTTTTAAATTTTTATTTTATATTTTTAAAAATTAATTTTTTTATTATATCTTTGATATATTAAAAATATTATAAGAAATAACTTCTCATAAGAAATCTACTAATGATCTATTATGGTGGTGTTGGAGATAATATTTAAAATTTTAAAAGTATTTTTGGAATAAATATTTATCAAACATAAAAAAAAATATTTTTCTTTAAATAAGCAAGATTAAGATGTTCATAAATAATACTAAACTACAAATGACTTTATGAAAATATATGTTTGGATGGTGAATAAAAAAATCTATATAATAAAACAAGATTAAATTTGAATCCTCAACTTAACTTTAGCACAAGAGTAACTGAAATTCACTTCATTTAATGGCTAAAAATTATCATCAAATTTTTTTTTTTTTCCTAAATCAACTCATTCATACCGTCTTACAGTAATTAAAGTCATATTTTTCCCAAAATTAAAAATTTCATCTACATGATACATTTTCACGTTGACAAAGGTGAAACAAAATCCTCTATTTTTCAATTTTTTTTTTCAAATGGTAGCATAAGATTGATTTTGAATTGTATAATTATAGAATGGAAAGAAAAAAATAAATTGTTATTTCATATTTTTATATCACATGATTGATATATGATTTATTTGTATTACCCATTGTCTTTAGGCATGGGGGCACGGGTTTTTGTTATATTTATATATAAGTCATAAATATAAATATACCTCCAAATACACTATCACACGTTTTGTAATTTATAAAAGGATAATAATAATCGAGATTAATTCAATTTATATTTATTTTGATCTAATGATACAAAATTTATTTAAAAAAAATTTGCCCAAAAATATCTTTTTCTCTGTATGGCCTTTTGTCTCATGCAACTCAATCAACATACTTTTTAATGCGAAAACAACCTATTACTCTATACTTATTTCTCTCTTTTCTCTTCCCTCTCTCTAATTTTAAATTACTTAATTAAAAAAAATTAATTGTTGTTTATTATAATATATTTGTGAAAAATGTCAATATTTATTTTTTAGTGTTACAAATAAGTTTGTCAATCGAGGGTGAAGCGGGTTTATGTTGAATCTTAGCGGGCTAGTTTCAAAATATATTTTACCTTAAACTTGATTTGTTTGTGTAATTTATGTCTAAATAATCGTATTATATATAATTTATGTTGTATATGAATTGTATATAATTGATATATAAATAGGTCATACCGTGTATTTCTTTTAATTGTCTTTACTTATAATCGATTTATATATTAATCGTATAGTGTTGTGTGACATTTACTAGTTTACTAAACGAGTGACTTACCCTCTGTTTGGTAGAAATGATAAAAAATTAGAGGGATAAAAAGTAAGAGAAATGCATTTTCTATTATTTAATAAAAAAAAGTATGAATGACACACTTTTTTTTTAAAAGTATTTGGTAGGATGGATAGATGGAAAATAAAAATAATTATTTTTTTGTACTTGATAAAATAGACTAAATATTTTTTTATTTTTAAATTTTTTTAAAAAATATATAAATACATATTTTATCATTGTATTTATATAAAAAAATTAATGTGTTTATATATATTTTAGAAAAATTGATTTTGATGAGTTAAAAGAAAAATCATCCTTCTATTTTTTCTTCCTTTCAATTTTTTTTCCTATCAAACATGATATTTTATTTATCTCTTTTAACTTTTATTCTTTCAATTTTTCATTTTTTTATTTTTTTATCATACTAAATAGAACATTATAAAAACTTTTAATCTTTTAATTTCGTATCCAACTTAAATTATATTAATGAATTTTGTCATATTTTAATGACATAGTAGTGCTGTTGAAAAGACACAAATGTCAGAGGTTCAGCCGTTGATAATTTCTGAATCGTATCATAATTATCAGAGTACAATTTCTTCATCCATTTATCATGCTACAACATCCACACTCACTTGTAGCAAAAAACCACAGAAGTAGAAAAAAAAATATATGAAAATTTCAGTCACCTTTTTTCTAATTTATTATATCCCGAAAGATTTTTTTTTTTATTATCAAAAATATCACTAATACCTTTTCTAGTTTATATTTAAATATTCTATCATCTTCGACCATTAAACTACCATTCGCTCTATTTCTAACAAAAAAAATTTATCTAAAATACAAAAAATGCTCCTACATAAACCTCAAATAAATTTTCTACACAAAATTTTATTAAAATTCGAGCCGACTAAAATTTAAACCAATTAAAATTTGATTGAAATTGATTAAATTTTATTTTTTTTAACATATTAAAATTTGAGCCTATTAAAATTTATTTTTTACTTATTAAAATTTGAGCCGATTTAAGCTCTACCCAAGTTGTTAGCTTCGATAAAATTCGTTTTTGAGTCGATTCAAATTTATATATTTTTACTTATTAAAATTTATGTCAATTAAAATTCGATTTATTAAAATTTGAGTCATTTAAATTTATATTTTTTATGCATTAAAATTTGTTATGATTAATATTAAATGCAAGTTGATTAAAAATAATTTTTAATTGGCTCAAATATAATTTTAATTAGCCAAAATTTTAATAAAAATTTAATTTATAATCGGCTCAAAGTTTAATAAGTAAAAAAATAAATTTTAATTAGTTTGAATCAAATTTTAATCAGTTTGAATTTTATTAGGTAAAAAAATTAGAAAATAGAGGGGGAATCTCATTGAAAATATACTTATTTAGAGAGAGTGTGGATGAAGTTTGCCCTCAAATATATAATAAGTAATTTAGTAAAATTATATTTTAATTAATATTTTTAATCTGACAAGAGGCCTCAATAAAAATTTAAAAAATAAAAGAAGTATCCTTTACAATATAATAAACTAGCGGGGCGTGATTAAAATTATCCCAATAAATAAAGCAATTTGTACGCGATGTGGCGTGTATGTATAGCAAAATCAGCTTAATAGATTTTCTTTTTACAAGTGACAGTGATAGTGACAGATATGGACAGCGTGTAACCTAACAGATAGGCAGTGGTACGGGTAAGGTGTGGACCACGGAAGGAATTGCCCAAAACCCCCTAAACATCGTCCACCTGTAAAATCTGTCTGCCGAGCAATTCCACTGTCTTGTTCCATGAAAGTGACAGCCAAACCAAAACAAAAAAAAAAGGTAGTGCCACGTGACCCAACTATTCTTCAACCCAAGCTCGACCAAGGTTGCTTTTTCACCAGGTGGTCCGGTTAACTCTACGGACTCTTCATGCTTACAAAGCAAACCCTTACCAAACAACACCTAACCATTACCAAAACCATTCCCTT